CCTGTGCAAGAAAATAATTTGCCGGCGAATTTGTTCACACTATGACAGCCGGTCACTATGATGCTTCATTAGTCTTTCATTGCGCGGTTAAAATAAAAGCCAATACAGTTTTAGAGTAAAAGCCTTACAAAGACACAAGCAAATGCATATGTAGACCTCCTTAAATCGATGCTTATGAGTAGCAAGAGCTATTCAAGATACATCTTTTATAGTCAATGTCTGGAGACACGAGAATAATAATGAATAATCATGTATGAATAATTACAAAGTTAACAATTTACTTACATTTGCATTTTCGCCGTTTTTTGTCCTCCACCCTCTCCTTGTCCATAACGTGTTATATCAACCAGTACGGAAGGTCAAACAATATTTAGCAGCTGAAGTTAGATCGCGTAGTAAGCTCGAGAGACTAATGGATGATCGTCGATGAGAAGCTATGGAATGTTTGAAGCTAGCTGACCGGAAGTTGATGACAGCATGTGACCTCGAAAGTAGCTTAAAGTCGGGTTGTGATAGGCCATAAAAAGGTCAAAATGTTAATGCATAACCAAATAGTTAGCGTTTATCTGTGACTGCTACTTTGATAGTTCAAATAAACTACAAGTTATTGATTGTATAATAGTTTTGACCACTTCCCTAAATGAGATCCAGTTTCAAGCGACCAAGAGTGCATGAATCTCACGTCTCGGGCTTGGATTTTCCGAAATTGTTTAAGTCTCGGTCTCGAATTTTTAAACAATGGTCTCCTCGGCAAGTCTCGGATTTTACCATTTGCCACCCCTACACTTGCAGGCTGCGTTCTGTAAATTTGGTTGATTCGTGCGTGTGTTGTTTTTTCTACGCGACGAATGCTATATAATTGCGATTCAAGACTTCAGCTCCAGACTAACGATTTGGACGTTAATATGAAATACATGTTCTCTTGCACGAATAAAGGAAGCTGCACGATGCGTGGTATTGTTTATTTCTATTGTTACGAATTCGAGATATAAATCGCTTTCTCAAAAAATTCTTCTTGTCTTGAAACTCAAAACTCAATACTCGAAACTTGAAACTCGAAACTTGAGCCTTGAAACTCGATTCTCGATTCTTGAAAGCATCGAGGATCGAGGATCGAGTTTCGAGTCGAGACTACCAACTTACATTTGACCGGTACTGTAACATGGCGATCCGTATGAGAAAAGTACTTAGAGAGCGACAACTTACCAAATCATCAACTGCTCTGCTATCGTCTTACCTAGAAAACCTACCCACCCCTCACCACTGCCTTTGGAATGTCACATATCGCAATTCTTATGCTGTAACCCATTGCATACAGTAAAACTGTTTTAATTAAACTGAAATCACACCGTCTCAAGGACTTTTGGCCAGGATCTTAGTTGCAAAACTGCGACTGTAGAGGAGGAAGTTTTAGGTACTAAACATTTTGTGGCGAATGCATGCGATCATATCAGTCGCAATTTCATGCCCTGTAGACAGTTGGTAAACTTCTGGGAAGATGTAAAAGCATAAAATCTCTTTCATTGGAAGTCATAGGGAGTCAAACTGAGATTCCAGATGGTTGAAGTACCTTTTTATTGTATTTTTCGGAAGAGCGCTTCATCCATTTTGGGAGGGAATGTACTGTCAGTATAAATTTCATATATTTGAACGGTAGGAGAAAGACTTCAAGACATGACTGAAGTGTTTGTCAGTCAATGACACTGAACTAACAAACACTTTTCAGTTGAATCTGAAGGTGGCTTCAACTCAGGTCAGGTTGTGGAAATGTCAGTCACCAACAACAGTTCTGTCTAGAACTACCGTCACCGACAAACTGATGTTATTATTATCGTGTAAGTTTTTGCTAATCAAGTTAATTTTTCTCTAAATGTTTCAGCACCTAGCAGAAAAAGAAAAGCAACCAGTGATGAAAAAAATGGTACTTCTAAAGTAAGGCATGTGCTGGACAGTCAAGCCAAAGAAAACAGTTCTTCAAGTGGTCAAACCTCAAGAAGCTCAAGTCAGTGTCAAACCAAGGCCAATGACAAGACGCTTAAGACTGCTCCTTCCACTGATTTAGAGTCAGGTGATGTTGATAAGGAAAAACTACAGATGAAGGAGAAGGAAGAAAAAGAGCGACACAAAATTAAACTTAAGGAGAAGGAAAAAGCCCCAAATTTAAGTCAGCTTGAAACTGAAAGTGTAAGCAAGGAAAAGGCAAAGGAAAAGGACTCTTTAAAAAACAAACAAAGAGATATGAAGTGTCTTAAGAATGATTCTGACACCAAAACTGGTGACAAAGAATTGAAGAAAAAGGAAGAACAGAAGTCAGTAACAACTGAAACTAAGGAAGTTTTAGAAAAGGAAAAAGAAGAGAAAACAGTGGAGACTGTTTGCAAAAAGGTAGCTAGTCCCAAAAGCAAAGAAACTTTGAAGAATGCCATGAAAGACAGCTCTAAGAAAGAAACAGGAAAGAAAGAGATGAAGAAAAAAGCTCTTGAGATCATCAAAGGACAAGGTAAAGTTACAAGAGAAAAAGTAAAACCAGTTCCGGGAGAGAAGACAGACACTGAAATCCTAATGAAGAAAGATGCAAAGCAAAGTGTACTTTGTAATCCAGCTGAAATGAGAAGTAGCAAAAGCCAGGATCTGCCCAGTTCTCCTGCTGAAAAAATTCATCAAAAGCAGGCTCATGTTGGATTGATAGGAAAGGATGTTGAGGGTGGTGAAGTGAAAAACAAATCCACTGAAAAGAAATCTGCTACTCACGTAAAATCTAAGAGATCTAAAGTTGGTAAAAGTAGTCGAAAGGAAACCAAGCAAATGGAACCTGCAGTGGAAATGGAACAAGATGAGAACAAAGTGCAGGTTTGTAAATAAAACAAAAAACTGACCCGTGTGTTTTTTTCTTTTTTTCAAACAACACAACATTTTTCTTCTTGTGTCATTTCTTGTCTGAAGTTTGCATTGTGTGATATTGTTGCAGTGCAAAGCAAAGCAAAGCAAAGCAAAAGGTGATTCCAGCTACCAATGTGCTGTGGCTTAAATCAGTATCCTAACAGTTTTCTATGGCAAAGACCAAGGGACTGGCAAAATATGTTTGCTATAGCAAGGTTTCATTGTAACAGGGTTCTTTTCCATATATTTTACTATTACTGGGGCAAGGAATATTGTTTGTTATATTGAGGACTTCGTTATATAGGGTTCATTAAATCAAGGTTCCACTGTATTCCGTGACATTGCCATTCATACTCAGTTGAAATAAGACGTGGGAAAAAATTATTGACCAGCAGACTAAGTCAAGATGGAACAGCTTGGGTTAGGGGAAGTTGAGTCTAGTGGTACAACCCACACAGTGAGGGAGCACTTGAAGGTGGGCTGTTCCCTTTTCCCTGCTCTGCTGCAGGGTTTTCAAATTTAGCCGGCACCTGGCGCAAGTCACCAGCTACTTCAAGCATTTGCGCTGGGTACTTCTCATGTTCCAGATTTTTTTTAATACACAATTCTACTTCACCAATATACAGTACTGTGTAAAAGTAATGCAAGTGAAATGTGTGAATTTCATTCTTTGTTTTTGTGAATTTTCATTGAAAAATCGTGCCGAAATTCGAGGGAAAATTTGATGCATTTCAAGTGATAATCCACTTGAACAATAGGGGAAAACATTATTGGATTTTCCACACCTCTAGGTCTTGTGCCTCAAATTTTCGCTTCTAATTTCAAGCTAACCATAAAATTACTGTGGTATTTACTTTAAATACCTTTAGGAGATGTTGTCAGCCTCAAGAAAACATATTCAGGATCTTTGAAAATCATTGAAATCCTTCAAATCGCTCATTCGACAGGTTCGAGTAGTTCCTCAAAATCCGGCCATTGTGAAATGGTGTGGTTTCGAAAAGTTGTCATATAGGCCACATTAAGTTATCCCACGTGAAACTTACCACGTGATTAACTATTTCTATCAACTTCCTGTGGTCAAAGTTCAAACAAAACAGAAGTAACATAATTTTCTAGTCATCTCTCTTCAAGTTTTGAAATTAAGAGAGTGTGACAGGAACGAGGAACCTTCATTAAGAAATCTTTTAAGCGATTAAGGTCACCTTTCTTGACACACAAAAAAGCAATGAATGTACATGTAAAGCATCTTCCTCAAGACTACACTTTTGATTTATTTTGATTTCTTGAAATCCAAAAGCATGTTTCTAAAACTCAACCTATCCACGTGTGTAATTGAAGGGGTGAGTGCAAAACCATGCTAAGTGACGATTTGGGTGAAAAAAAAATTTTCAC